ATGTGGGTATGAGGTGGGGATGGGGCGGGTAGGGCGGGGCGGGGATGGGGCGGGTACAACTTAAAATCCACCCCCGCCCCACCATCCGCCAAACCGAGACCCATCCCCGCCCGGGATGGGGCGTGTGTCCTACTTGACCCGCCCCACTGACATTCCTAAGCTTAGGGGTGTTCAAAAATCAATCCGGGCCGAAAATGTGTTCTGGACCAGACTGGACCAACCTCGGACCGGACCAGATCGAATTAACCGGCCCAGTCTCTGAGTCTAGAAATTAAATTTATTTTTTCGATCTTTGGTCCAGTGTGGTCCAAAACCCCAGAAAAAACCGGTCTTAGACCAGACCAATTTTTTCCTTTAATTTATGCATAAAATATTAGCTAATGGTTAAAATTATTCTTAATAACCTTTGATAACTTTAATTATATGGACTTTTTTGTACTTAAAATTAAAAAAAAACTCTAAAGTAGAATTTTTCCTTAGATATTTTTTCGAGTTTTCCACTTTTCCATAATATTATTAAAAATTTAGCATTTTTAAAATAAATTTATAAAATCGGCTCAAAGCGGTCTGGTCCGAATTCTAGATCGATTTTTTCGGTCCGATCCGGGTTTGATCCTAGCTTAATTAGTCCGGTTTTCGATTCTTAAATTTAAAATTTCGTTCTCCGGCCTTATCTGGTCCGATCTTGGACCGATGACCAGCCCAACTTAAGCTATCTCTTACTCTCTCGTGGAGAACTATGGATTAGAATAACTATTTGTTTTTTTTTGAAAGAAATTAGAATACTCCCTCCGTGTGTTTTTTTAAGTGTTACAGTTCGACCGGCACATAGTTTTAGGCAATTTAATTGTCTTAAGTAAAATAAGAGGTAAGTGGGATAGTTGGAGTATTAAAAAAATTGTAAAAGAAAGGCCCCAAGGGAGTATAAATTTTCAAGCTGATATAAAGTATACCAAACTTTATCTTCCCTTGCAATCAAACAAAAAGTGGCCCTTATTTTAACTTGACGTGAAGAATGCCTTTCAACAACATAAGGGAAGAGAGGCAATGCAATTGATGACTTAAGTAAAATAAGAGGTAAGTGGGGTAGTTAAAGTATTAAAAAAATTGTAAAAGAAAGATGGTGTGGTTAATAATTATTGAAAAGTAATGACATGAGAGGGAAAATATAATAAAAAAAGTAGTTTTGGGTTTGCGTGAGGATCATGAGAGGAAAGATATATAATGTTTTAATGTAGTTTTTTGCCAAAAATAAAAATAAAACACTTATTAAAACACGACCGAATTTGATAAGTGTAACACTTATTAAAAACACGGAGGGAGTAACTATTTGTTCATTCTATCTCTATAATATATTCTTTCGCCGCTTTAGTTATCGTTAAATAATAATACTCCGTAATAAAACCCATGTTTGCCCCGATGAAAGCGGTAAGCTTGAAACCCATGTTTCCGTTGAAATCTTTGGTACTATTCGGTGTTTATCTCAATTCCGTTTAACCGGCTCTCTAAAGGACTACATTGTTGTTGGTTCTGATTCTGGTCGAATATTTTAACATAGTGACCTTTATTATTAATATTGACCTTATAAAATATTTCATTAAAAAAATTAACCTCTTATAGCCTATATATTACCAAAATGACTTTGATTTTCAACATAGTAATCTTCATTTTATTATAGTGACTTTTTTTTTTATTAATAAAACAACTATAGTTTGTCTAATGTTAGTGGTCCACAATAAATTAGTGTGAACCAAGTTCATTCAAGAATTTGTAGAAAAATTAAAGTAATCAGTCATAGAGTATTAATGAGGTTAGTAAATGTTAACTTCAATTCCTTAGGGAATGTGATGAAGACTAGAAGATTTTTTACTTGTATTTGGGTTTTAACATAATAAGTGGAAGGATCAGAATAGACCGTCTCAGAGCCGAGCCTGTGCATGGAATATAATCATAAAAGACACGCTGCACACGCATGAAATGTTAGCTTGGTACCTTAATATTGTAGTAACACTCCTCTGATTCTTATTATTTGTAACAAAATTATATTTTAATCTTATTAATAATACTCTTTTGTTGTATATAATAAAAACGAAATTAGTGTTATATACGAAGTAGTAATTTTTGTTCTTTTCCATTCGATTACTTACCACCTCATTGTCCATTGTAATACATATTGTGACGCATATTCTTATACATGTTATCCCCTTATCTATATAACTATATGGTAGGATTGTAGCATATTTTTTTGTCGTAATTTATGAAATTTAGAATTTACATTTTAAAGTTGCTATTTGGATTGTCTTTATTAACGTGTATTTTGTATTAATTCACCAATCTGTATAATTGGATTAGCTAGTAAATACTCAATACGACATAACATGTTTATTATTGTCTATGTCGGGTTAGTTTGGGTTTTAATTTCCTACATCATTTAGTTTCGGACATGAACATGGCACAACACAATCTAATAATTGTGAACCACGTTCATGTTTTACTTTGGATTCGTATTTTCACCATTATTCCCCTAAGTAATACTTCGCAAGTATTGCATCATGGCGGGAGTTGGAGGAATGGAGGGACATGAGACACAATACAAGCTTCATAAAAGTGGGTAAAAGATTAGAGCCAGGGATCGAAAACTTCAGATTATTAGGAAAAATAAGTTATAATTGTCTGTGGTTGTTTCAGTGACTTATGGGGATTCCCTCAGCTCAGTCCGAGCCTCCATTTATAGAGTGGTAGAGTAATATCGTCTGGGCTTTTGCACCTGTGTACATGTTGCATTGTTGCAATAGTTCATATGTATAAAATTTACTATAACTTTAAATAATTATCTTATACATTTTTTTTTTATGTAAAATTCATTTAAAGAATATGTTTAAAATTAGATCCATTTATGATACTCCCTTCGTTTTTATAAATACATCACTTGGATTTGCACACTTACCGAGCCACAACTTTTACAATCGATATCTTTAATTAGATATATTAATATATATATAAATTATAAAGAATAGCATATTACATCATTACACCTCTTTATATGTGGAAAAAATTAGTCAAAAGTAACCAATAATTTGCAATATAGGTTTGTGACGCATATTCTTATACTACATGTTATCCCTAATGTATATTGTAGGATTGTGGCACATTTTTTGTCGCAATTTATGAACTTTGGAATTTATAATTTTAATGTTGCTATTTGGATTGTCTTTATTAACGTGTATTTTGTATTAACTCACCAATCTGTATAATTGGATTAGCTAGTCAATACTCAATACGACATTACATGTTCACTATTGTCTAGTTCGGGTTAGTTCGGGTTTTTATTTCCTACATCATTTAGTTTCGGACATGAACATGACATAGCACAACTAATAATTATGAACCATGTTCATGTTTTACTTTGTTTTTTTTTTTTTAATTAATGTGTTAAACTTTAACGGATATAATTTCTAATAGTCACTCAAAATCACATTGGTTCACAATCAAATGGATGGTCAATTAGAGCATCAATAAAAGCTTATTGCAAGAGGTTTTTTAAAAAAAAAATTAGAAGAGGGGACCAAAGGTTCCATATCAATTTTCTACTTTAGAAGTTGGTCAAAATATTGGTGTTTCTTACAACTTAGATCAATTTGGAAAATTGAATTGGAAAGGTATAAAGAGTAAGATGACAATCACTATACAACTAGATTAAATTTGCTCTAAACCTTGTTCCCTTCAACCCTTCACTTGCAACAATAATTAATGATGATAATGGCAAGATGTTCATTATTATTAAACATCCAAATACAATTTTTCCTACTCTAACAATATTTGTATTTATTTTACTTTAAGAATTTATAAGAGAGCTAGATGAGAATGAGAAAGGGAAAAGAACAAAATTTGTATTTAATCCACTTTTATAAAAATAAAAAAAAAATAAAAAAGAAAAAAAATTACATCTTAAACCGGCCAAAGAAATAACTAACAAGCCTAAAGATTAGGCCCTATACTATTAATTAATGTCATAAACATAGGAACCATTAAATCTTGATAAATATATGTTTTTTTGATAAGCAAAAATAATAGTCAAGCAAAGTTAAGCTAGCTTGCTTTAGTGGGAAAATTCACACCTTAAGCGCTTAAGGTTGAGGTTGTAACTTGTTACCCTCACTAGAGGTTCTTAAAAAAACATTGTGTGGGTACTTCAAAAAGTAAAGACACGAGGTTATTTTTGTCATTTTAACACATTTATGGAAGATATAAAATGAAAACATCATTTTAAGGCACCTAAAAAGAAAATTGTGCACTATAAAAGGGAACGAAGGGATTAGTATTTTGATATTTTCATCATTCCCCCAAGTAATAAGTATTGCATCATGGCGGGAGTTGGAGGCCTGGAGGGACATGAGACACAATCTAAGCCAATAAAAGTGGGTAAAAGATTAGAGCCAGGGATCGAAAAGACCAATTTTTTTTTAACACAGAACAAAGAACTTATATTACTGGCCAATAGCCTTAAAAGTATATATTACAACAAAAGCCAATATCCTACCATCCCAAACTTCAGCAGTCCAAAATACACAGCTGTGAGAGGAGTAATGGTACCGAGAACTAGTACAAATCCGATTAATATCACTATCATAAGGATATCGAAAATACCATTTGAAAGTAGGAAATACCTAAGAAATCCCAAATTGGCAGTACAAGATATTATATCAAAGAGGGCAATTTAAATAGCCCTCTTAGGTTCAAATTTCGCCCTATTAGGCAAACAGGGCGATTTTAAAATCGCCCCTAAGTCGCCCTATTAGCTTCATTCTATTAGCTTCAAAGGGCATACAAATTTTTTCGCCCTCTTTGTTAAATATCAAATAAAGTAAAAAATTTCGCCCTCTTTGATCAAATTCAAATAGGGCGAAATTTTCGCCCTCTTTGATTGAATCAAGCAAGACGAAAATTCTTTTTGCCCTCTATAAACAACTCAAACAAGTCAATTCATATAGCCCTCCTTGCTCAAAATTCGCCCTGTTTGATCAAATTTTAAAGGGCAAAATCAAAGTCGCCCTCTTTAATCAATTTTTTGTTTTTTTTAAAAAAAAATAATTCTAGGTGCTAATATGCATAAATTTTAATTTTGTTATTATATATAAGTATTAACCAAGTTTTCTATAATAGCAAATATTTAATAATATTTAATAGCAAACATATACAAAAGTATTAACCAAGTTGTATATCAAGCAATCTTCTCATCCTTGCAACCAGCCTTTTGGTGTCCTCCATCCCCAAAACATTGACTTGATTTCCTAACTGCAAACTTGACAAAAACAATTATGCATATTAGAAATCTTATAACTGCACTTTCTAGATTCAGTCTGCAATCAAATTAGAATTGACTTTAAAGCTAGTTAACTCGAAACATTACAATAGAGTACGAACAAACACTCCCTACATTTACACATGCTTCAAGGAGAAAAACAGGGACATAAATGAGTGTTCACACCAGCAGACATAAATCCCTTAAACTGAATTGTTTTAACAAGATCAAACAAAAGACAGTAACATATGAAATAGCAGACCTAGCAGTAAACAGAATTCTAGAGTATATCATACATAATCTTAGGGTATCCGATGAGTTTTGTGAAAGGAAGACGACTTCTAATGCGTCACCGACAGTCAAAGCATTAGATTAGAAATAAGCTAATTTGCTTCCTGGGTAGATATGAACCTCATTTGGCACACCAGATAACTTCAGCTTTTCCTCCAAACTTTTGGCAGTATGAGATTTCAAGTAGATGCCATCTGTTTAGGGTAATTTCACCCTGCCACGTGGCCCAATCAGAGGGTGACACGTGTCAGCCCCAGATTGGTCTAAAATGGACCAATCCCTGCTCGACACGTGTCATCCCAGAAATCAAGGGAAAAGGCGGCCTTCAGGCCCAAATCCCGAGAATGCCGCAAAACGGCGCAGCCCACCAATAATTAGGGTTCAGTGACCTAATCAGGGGCACAATTTCCAAAGACCCTATAAATAGGGAGATGTCCCTCATTTTGAGGGCACGTTTTACCATTTATTACACCTGCATTCTCTTACATCAGAGAAACACCTGAGCTTGGAACCTAAGCAGATCCCCACCTCAATTTCCGTACTCTTTATTCCGTTTCAAGTTACTAACTTGACCGTCGGAGGCGGAGCTCCAACCATCCGGAGTCTCCGTTATTTTGCAGGTACAGACCGGCCAGACCAGACTTCGTGACGTAACTCTCCCGAGGGACAAAAACACCCAAAACATTTGGCGCCGTCTGTGGGGAGAGTACCTCGAAGATAGTTCAAGAGTCTGTACCACCCCCTAACCGTCTGGGCGAAGATCCAGAAGTCTTTACAAACCATGAGGAGGATGAGGATCCTCAGGTCGAAACCTCCACAGCCGAAGACGGCTCTCTCATAGTCAAGCACATCCGGTCCAGAGAGACTCTGAAGCGGGGTGCCTCCCAGGCGGGTCCGAGTAGACCCACTGGGCAGCCGGAAGGGGCAACCCAAACGGCCGCTGGATCAGCCCCTGTCACCCGAGACGAACTCATGAGATTCATGACCAGTTTCAAGGGTGAAATCACACAGCTGATCACCAAAAGCCGAGCTGGCCCAAGCAAGGGTCAGTCGGCAAAGAAGACCCCTCCAGAGAAGGGGAAGTCAGTCAGAAACCGGCAGCCCACTCCCCATCCAGAGGAGAAGGCAGCCGGGACCATTGATTGGTCAAAAATTCTCCTCCCTAGGAGGAACAACAACACTCGTCGGCCTCAGCAGCCGGTGAGAAGCAAAAAATCAACTATCAATGCCCGGGAGATCATCAACCGGAAGAGAAATCAATCGTTGTCTGAGTCGGCTTCAACGTCGAATTTTCCAGACAGCTTCAACAACATTTCTGCAGGGAGTGCACCCTCCTTGCATGAGAGTCAGACAGGCGGTAATACCGTCCATTCTGGCCCTCGTATGATTGGAGTTGTCCCGTATATGCCTACTCAGGCTTACGGGCAGTATCCTCCTCACTTCATGCAGCCGGCCTTCTTTGGGGGTCAGGCGGCATATCCAAATGTCCAGCTATTGGACTGGCAGCTTCGTTTGCTGCGCCTGGGTGAACAACCTTCTGCGTTCACTCGGGAGGTAACCGAGGCGGCTCAGCCGGCTAAGGTTAAGAACGTGTTGGTTGGTACCTATGATGGTACCTCCAATCCGGAAGACCACCTCATGGCGTACACCAACCTCATGTATCTGCAGGGGTTGGATGATGCCACGTGGTGTCGGTGTTTCCCGGCTACATTGAAGGGCATTGCCCAACAATGGTTTGGCAATCTGCCAGCCGGGTCCATCGATAGCTTCAGGAAGCTCGCCTTCCTGTTTGCTTCCAACTTCTCAATGAACATCCCTGCTAAGAAAACAAGCCTTGATTTGAGCACTGTTAAGCAAGGAGAGAGAAGGGCTGCGCTCATATGTCAGACGGTTCAATCTGATAAGAATTCAGATTCAAGGAATGTCTGACGAGGTAGCTTTTACAGACTTTTTCAAGGGTCTGAGAGACGGGTCGACTTTTAAGTTCGACCTCGTCAGAAAAGGGGCTTTCACCCTACAGGCGGCCCTGAGGGAGGCGAAGAGCTACATCCAAGCTACCGACCTCTGCTCGCCTGGTAGCCAGTCGGACTCCAAAAAGTCCGACAAGCAGAAAGACAGCCGATCAGCTCAGCCGGCCAAAAACAAAGAAGAGAGCAAGAAAAGAAAAGAAGTTTGGGCGGTTACTGACTCTGACCAGCCGTCCCAGAAGAAAAAGTTTAAACTGTACGTTCCCAAGTACGAGTTTAACAAAGACTACAACTCCATCCTCATGGAGGTAAAGGACCGGATGTCCATTGAGAAGCTGAATCCTATGAAGAGTTATGTCCAGTCACGGAACAAAAATAAATTGTCAGTTCCATGAGGAAGTTGGCCATGACACCAACGACTGCTTTAGTCTTCAGCGGGCGTTGGACCGTCTGGCTGACAAAGGGCTGCTGAAGTCCTACATTACTAAGTCCCCAACCGGGGCAAAAAAGAAAAACAAGGGTCAGTCCTCAAAGACTACCCCCCATCCTGCTAGTAGCTCGGATATCGACAAGGAGCCGGTCTACACAATAGCAGGCGGGTTCTCATGTGGTGGCCCTACCATCCGGGGCACTAAGAGCCATCTTCGAAAGATGGACAAAGATTATGAGGAGCAGGCGGAAGCCAGCTCCTCCTTCCCAGACGTCTTGATAACTGAGAAGGACAAGGGCAGCGTTCACCGCCCGCATGATGACCCGGTGGTCATTGAATGTAAGGTTGCCAACCAGCTGGTCGGACGGATCCTTATAGACACCGGCAGCTCATCAGACATCATCAGCCTCCGATGCCTGCAAAAGCTAAAATACAATGTCAGCAGCATGCATCCGGTTACCCACCCCTTGGTTGGTTTTGGGGGTGGAATGGTCTACCCAGCCGGGAGAATTGACTTACCCATCCGGCTGGGAGAGAAGGGCCAAGGGCGACATATTGTCGTCAGGTTCTTGGTCGTTGAGGAGTTGACCGCCTATAACATTATCCTTGGCAGGCCAACCCTCAATGTAGCCAAGGCGGTAATCATCCCGTCTCTCATGCTCATCAAGTATGAGAAGGATGATGGCACTGTTGGTTCCCTGAATGGGGATCAGAAGACGGCTCGGGAGTGCTACCTCTCAGCCGTCAGGGACACTGTAACCCCAGGCGTCCAGGAACCAATAGACCTTGACAATGTCAAGGATGCCGATCCGGCACCTGCCCCACCAGCAGCCGGTAAGAAAAGAAAGGCACCTCTTCTGGTGGAGGTGAAGAAGGAAAAAAAATAGCAATCACTGACCGGTGAGCGGTCAGATGAGCTCCGTCCCCAATCGGCTGGCGAAAGCATTGATCTCGTTCTGGATGACAGCCGTCCAGAATGTACTGTTAAGGTTGGGACGGTTGCTCATGCTACTTTGGGTGCAAGCTTGCACCTCCTGCTGAAGGAATTCAAAGACATCTTTGCCTTTGAAGTGGAAGAGATGCCAGGCGTCAGCCCGGATTTCGCTGTCCACAAACTCGCCATGGATCCCAAAAAGAAGCCCATCTGGAAAAAGAAAAGAAACCACGGTGAGGAAAGAAGTCAGGCGGCAGCTGCCGAAGTCAAAAAGCTGCTAGACGCCAGGTTCATTCGGCCTTGTAATTTTCCCGACTGGTTGGCCAATGTGGTCCTTGTTAAGAAACCGAATGGGACCTGGCGCATGTGTGTTGATTACACAGACCTCAACAAAGCGTGTCCAAAGGACAGTTATCCGCTTCCAAAGATCGACAGTCTGGTCGACTCTACAGCCGGCCACGCCTTGATGAGCTTTATGGATGCCTACTCCGGCTTCCATCAGATACCCCTGTGGAAGAAAGATCAAAGAGAAGACGGCCTTCGTCACTGATCAGGGGTTATTCTGTTATACTGTGATGTCGTTTGGCTTGAAAAATGCGTCTGCCACTTTCCAACGGATGATTAATACAGTCTTTGTTAATCAGATTGGGAGGAATGTGGAGGCGTACATTGATGACATGATAGTCTAATCCAAATAGCAGACGGATCACCTTGTCGACCTCCAAGAAACCTTCACCACACTCAGGCGGCATAAGGTTATGTTAAATCCTAAGAAATGCGTCTTTGGTGTTGAGTCTGGGAAGTTTCTCGGATTCCTGATTGATCAAAGGGGGATAGAGGCTAACCCTGAGAAGATACAGGCGGTGATTGACATGAAGTCACCCCGTTCTGTCAAGGAAGTCCAGAGACTAACCGGTTGCCTGGCCGCCTTGGGAAGATTCCTCAGCCGGTCAGGTGACAAATGCCTCTACTTCTTCTAAGCAATCAGGAAGAAGACCAGATTTGAATGGGGGGATGATGCTGAGGCGGCGTTCCAGAGGCTGAAAGAGCATTTACACTCTCTGCCTAGGTTGGTCAATCCTTTGCCTAGGGAGACGTTGTACATGTACTTAGCTGTCTCATACCATGCCCTCAGTGTCGTTCTCCTTGCTGAGCGAGACGGCGTGCAGCTCCCGGTTTACTTCATTAGCCATGTTCCTAAAAATGCTGAACTCCGGTACCCCATGTTTGAAAATTTTGGCCTTTGTATATGGCATTTAAAAAATTAAAGCCTTACTTTTTGGCACATCCGGTGGTAATCTACACGGACCAGCCACTCAAGCGGCCAATGTCTACCTTGGACTCATCCGGGAGAATGTTGAAATGGGCTATTGAAATG